AGAATTTACTAAGTAAAATACTTTCCACCAAACTTTTTCAAATAATAGAACCATCACCTATTAGAGGCATGCTATTTTTATTAGACATGGTATAGAGACAGCCTTGCCAGCTTTCTTAGCTCATCCTAGAGATGCAGCAGCAGGTGAGGAGGCTGTCTCTGAATTTGTAAAAGGTAAAGCCATGTGAAGACTAAGATAAATGTGTGAAAGTCTTACCAAACAGTCACTGGTTCCATGCTTGGTTTGTGTAGTTTCATGAGGTGATAATATCAAGAAAGACAATGTAAGTGATCTGCTGAACTGTTAACATACCAGATAGTTTTCTTCTGCCTCATCTAGATTCCGCTTAAATGAAGTACAATAAATGGACTCCAGTTAAAATGCTCCCTAAATGGACGCTTAGATCGGTTAATAACCTAGGATTTGAGAAGGCTACCTCCTTAGAGAATCTAGTGTAGAGGCTAGGTACTAATTTACAATAAGAAATACACATTTCTGTTATGTAGATCAAATAGGTGTGTGTGTGTGTGTGTGTGTGTGTGTGTGTATATATACACACACACATACACACACACACATATATATATATATATATATGTCTTTTAGGAGAGCCAGTTTTAGATTACTATGTAAGATTGAAATCTGAGCAATCAGTTGATCTTTTTTAAAAATCAATTTGTATTTTGGAAATTTTACCGCATTAAAAGTAGAATAATAATTAATCTCTGTTAACTCACGACCAATAAGACAAGACTCGTGTGCGTGCTTGCGTGTGTGTGCGTGTGTGTGTGCTGTTCTCCACTTTCAAGTCTCAGTTACACTGTGTAATCTGTATCTCTGAAAGACGTTCCATAAATAACACTTTAATGCAAAATCTGAAAAGCTTTAGTTCTCAACTGATAGTGATTTATTTTGTAACTCGAGTGCCAAGTACTGGAGTTTGGCTCCACACATCTTCTGTGGGACATAGATACAGACTCTAGATAGAAGGTCCCTTTTTGTTAAAAACCACTTTTGTATTGATTGTGAACTGTTAATAACCTGTTGGTTGTGTTCAGCTTAGACATTTACCTCTTCTAGAACATTTATCACCTTAAATCCAGTGGCCATGGCAGTTCCAAGGTCTGAGAACACTTGGGCCATGTTGTGAGCTGAGTCACCTGATTAAAGACTCTAGAGCTATAAAAACAAAAGTTTTATGGTGGAAGTTTTTTGAGTTCACATCCATTCTGTTTTTAAAGATACATTGTAGATGGATTATGTGAATATACTTTTTTTAAACACCTATTATGTGCATGAAACACTGAAAATTTGTATGCATTCTGTGAGATGACACTTCATTTGGGGTTGGTTTTCAAGGTTGAGTTTCTGACTGGTTTTTAATTGCTTGTGAAAAGGACCCAGGGTGACTGCATTTTTATATTACCGTTGTTAATGCTTGCTCTTGGTTTAAAAGCAATAGTTGAAGTGTTTAGTGATCTGTGTCTTCCTTCTGCTTCTGTCTCTCTGCTCCTCCCTAGGAGCTCCTGATGTTGCCTGTTCTTCCAAGTACTTCCAGGGGCAGGGAATAGGAGGTGGGAGATACAAGATATGTATAGCTGTCTTTTATATATGATATGCCCATGTGTTCTGAATCTTGCCCTTTTTAGTTAGTATATTTGGGAACATTTATTTTGAGACATAGACATGAAAGTTGAACGTGTTGCTTTTAAAAGTACATTTAAGTAAGCCAAAACAGAAATGACATTTTCCATTGTATCAGAATTATAACTTTCTATTTTAAAATGCATTTCCATAGTTGATATATGTCTTCCCCTCAGCTGTCCCACGTAAATCAGTTGTCAACAGATTTGTTTAGGAGCAGCTTTGGAAGTTTGGCATAACTGGGTGTGCCGTAATTCACCTAGGTCCATACTCTTGAGAAACTTTTACCTATTGCCAGGAGTTCGATGTACAAATGTTGCAGTACCACCTTTGTAATAAGAAGAAAAGAAAATCCAAACCAACAAAACCCTGGGACGATCCTAAGTCAACAATTTTGTTGGATAAATAGTATGATACATTTCTTCCGTGAATTGCACAGAATTACGAATGAACTTCAGCTCCACATGTAACCATGGATGACTCAACAGTGTAATGTCCAAAATAAAGTCACAGAAAGTTAATTTTGGTTAATTTTTGTAAAGGTCAAAACAGGCTATTACATACATGGTAACACACAGTTCGATGTTAGCTGCTACTTTGAGAAGCTTGGAAGGTGTGTGACCTTGAAGGGCAAAGGGGCCTTCAGAGGAACTGCTGATGCCCCTTCTCAAGCTGGATGGGCTTTTTCCTTTTTAAACTGTATGTTCATGTGCTTTTGTATGTATGCTGTTTCCTAATAAAAAGATTTTTTTAAGTGGGAAAAGGTCTTGGTGTAGGAAGTGACTAATAAACCTGCTTCATTAAATTAACCCCCAGTGCATGGCAGATTAAAAAGGTCTACTTTCTTTCCTCTTTTTCTTGAGATGGTCTCATTGTGTAGCCCAGGCTCACCTGGAACTCAGGTCTAACTGCCTCATCCAATTGCTGGGATTACCAGTGCCCCACCATGCTTGGCTAAATTTGGATTCTGAACACTACAAACGAGACCTATACAGACTTTGAGATGTCTTTTTTCATTTAGGTGGCAGAGAATGGATATTTCTGTTCTAAGCAGAGGACCCAGATTTGGTTCCCAGCAGGTAGAACACTCAAAACTTTTTTTTTTTTTGTCTTTTTGAGACAGGGTCTCCCTGTAGCCCCAGCTGACCTGGAACTCGCTGTGTAGACCAGGCTGGCCTTGAACTCACAGAGATCCGACTGCCTCTGCCTCTGCCTCCCAAGGGCTGGGATTAAAGGCATGCCCCACCATGCCCAGCTAAAAAAAATTTTTTTTTTAATTTGAAAAGTTTGCTTTTAGAAAAAGGACATGCTATAAGGAAGGTACATAGGATTGACATAGTTGATACCAGTTCCTAGAAGTCCTTTTCCATATCCTATTCCTTGGGGCTCCTTTACAGGTGAGGTACAGGGTCATTCAGCACAGCCAGCGCCTGTATGCCAGGTGCTGTCTTCATGATTTGCGATGGGTCAGTGAGAACAGGTGCCACTCCCTACCTTGCTTGTCTCCTCACTGCCCTGGTGCTCAGAGTTGTGCCAGGACTTCCCCTGACAACCAGCAATGGGTTTGTGCTGTTCTTAACAGTAATATCACTCTAAATTGGTTGCAGGTAGCTAGGGGTCTAGAGTACCACCCCTCTCTTCTTTTATTTTTTTCCTTGTTTTTAAAACAGTCTCACTAGCCCCAACTTGCCTGGAACTCACTATGTAGATCAGGCTGGCCTCTATCACAGAAATCTGCCTGCCTCTGCTTCACTGGGATTAAAGATAATGGGCCACCATGCCCAGCTGGCCTTGAGTACTTACTATAACCTAAATACAGTGTATAACTGGAACCTTTTAGTATGGCATTTGCTACTGGATCATTTCACTTAAAGTAATTTGAAGATTATTCAGTGGGATTGTACTTTATGAAGCAATTTTTACTTTCAAGGTATAAGGTGAGAACTTCAATCAAGCTTACTTTACTCTGTACTCTTCAAGTTTTATAAGACAGAAAAAGGGTTTGCTCATCTGTAATCCCAGCTCCTGGAAGGTGGAGCCAGTAGGATCTAAGTCCTCCTCAGTTATACTGAGTTCAAAGCCATCTTGGGCTTCATGAGACCTTGTCCCAACTCCCCCCTGTTCAGGAGTGGAATGTGTTGATTAGAAGAGGTAAGGATTTGCTCATCAGTCTTGTGATTGCATTGCTGTTCTCCGGCCTTGCTATGACTAACCACCGGGTAACACCTGTAGGCTCTGCTATCAGCAGAGCATTGCTGTCATCCAGACTACTTTGATATTGTTCACCTTCTAAGCAAATGTGTTCATTTATAAACAGTTCTTATTTTTCCACAAATGGTGCTTCCTAGCTGTTAATGAACCCTGAGCCTCTGCCTAAATTCTTATTCAAAGCAGAACAAAATTGAAAGTACTTAAGAAAAGATGTCACTTGGGACTTGACTCCATCTGTTAACAATCTGCCATTAAAACACTGGGTGTTGGTGGGAACTGGCAGGCTGGCTTTACAAGAGGTGTTTTTATAAAATGTGCTGATGCAGCCTTAGAGTGTTGCCTGCGTAAGAGGCAATGGACAGTAAGCAGATTGCTGGAGCAGGACTCATCCCATCAGTGAAATGGGTCATGTTTCTACTCCTACGCCATTTAAGCCATCTTCCTCTCTGACATTTGAGCAATGCCCATCGTGTGTTCCTTACCCTCCCTCAGATCTCAGCTGCTGAGAAGTTGGCCATGCAGGAACAGTGGAGTCTGCTGGGGGTAGAAATAGGATGCTGGTTCATGAGGAGCACTGGTGTTCTACTTAAACCTGTTTTGTAAGGATTAGAGATATTTCAGGAGGATTGGCTGTGTAAAGAAGTGTGAGTGTGTGAATGAAAGTGGGTAAATTACAGCTGAGTCCTTGTATAGTGACAACAGCTATCTAAAACTTAGCAAAAGTTGGTCTAAAGCCTAGTGTAGGAAAGAACCTAGCATGAGTGATGACAGCCATCCTTTGAGTTAGGCCAGTGAGCTCACCATTACCATCTGCCCTGCCCCCAACTTCAGTGCTGTGGGCCACACATGGCTGTTTTCACAAGTGGTCTAACATAGGTTGAAGGTAGTTGTTTACTCATGTTGTAAATCATGCATTTTGTAGGTAAGCAGAGCTGGGGGCGTAGCTCAGTGAGAGTGCCAGTATTGGGGTACAACACTTGAGAATAAACTTGCCTTGGTGTGGTTATCAAAACAGTGTCAAACATTTTCCCCTAGCTCAGAAAAGAGATGAAACAGTCTCTCTCCAAAGTTCAGATGTGGTCAGCCAAACTCAAGTGCATCTGGGCTTCATTCACCAAATGATTCAAGCTTTTCCTTGTCTGGAGCTAATAGGTCATTTTTGCAGCGTTACTATTGTAGCGGGGTCTCTGGGTCAGAGGGGATGCTGTGTGTTGTATCCATTCAGAGTTTGCACTTTTCACTAAAAGGAGTTCTATGTCTTGAAAGTCCTGGAGTCTTTGAAGGTCTTTGTCCTAAATGTGGGAAATAAATTTACTGCTTTTACTATGTGAAGTAACTGAAGTAAGGCTTAAATACTGGTCAGGATCACCTCAGGTGGTTTTCTTGTCTCTCTGTGGCAAACTTTGTTAGTTGGATTTGTTTATGTTGAAGCTGTCTAGAAACTGTGGTCATCTTATGATATTTAGTTTACAAAGAATATGCGATCAACTGAAACAGTAAGACTTGTCAAAGATCTGGGCACTGAGGCACACTCCTTCAATCCCAGCACTTGGGAAGCAGAGGCAGGCAGATCTGTGTGAGATTAAGACCAGCCTTGGCTAGCTATATAGTGAGTTCTAGGCCAGCTGGGGCTACAGGGAAGCCCTGTCTCAAAAACCAAAGTCAAAGGCATTTTGGAAAAAGTCTAAAGGAATGAAGTTGATACTAAAACTTAACATCTACACTTTCAGTCTGGAAAATAAAAATGCAGATTGCAAAGGTGGTCCTTTGCTAAGCAAATAAAAGTTGGCTGTGTTTTCCATCCTGAGGACTTGCTGTCTTATTAGCCAGTCATTTTACTGACATTGGCAGAGCTCAAATATGTCTTTAAATTGGGAAGCCTCTTGTCACTCGGGTTTTTAAAGAATTTCTGAATCGATGTGTAAAATCAATAAAAGTGCCTGATTGAAGATGACCCAGGTACTGTGACCAGAATTCTCCTATTTTGAGTTTTGTTGTATTAGGAACATCATTTTATGTTATACAACCATACAACACAACCAATTTGGTGTGTTTATGTTATACAACACACCGAATTATACATTTGGTGGTGTGTGGGACTCACCTTTCTGAGCAGTGTGTTTGGCAATTTCCTTATGTTCTCCACATGTTCTGGATTAACCCCCAGCTCACAGCAGCTCACTTCTAGTAGATTCTGATAACTCTTGTCTGTGCAGTTCAATCTCAATGAAGTCATTTTCTTTGGAGTTCTGAATTCTCACTTTGAGCACCAACTGTGGGTCACCCATATATGTATATGTAGTTTATGAGAGAAAATACCCATTTTAAAGGTTGTTGCCTTCACAGCATAGATGATCCTCAAAACTAAATACTCAGTAGACAGAGCTTTTCTAATCAGTAGGTGTTATTACCTACTTTACTTGTGCTGAGCCAACTCTAGGATGTGTGCCCCATTATGTCATGCAAACAGCTTGCAATTTGATGCCAGTCAGTGATTCAGTGACTTAGATACCATGATTTTCTTTTTATATGTATTGCCTGAATGTACATAAGTGCATCTGTGTCTTGCAATGCCTGCAGAGGTCAGAAGAGGGCATCAGATCCCCTGGAAGTGGAGTTACAAATGGTTGTTAGCCACCATGTGAGTGCTGAGAATCGAACCCAGGTCCTCTACAAGAGCAGCCAGTGCTTTTTTTTTTTTTTGATCGTTTTGAGACAGTCTCCCTGTAGCCCCAGCTGTCTGGAACTTACTATGTAGACCAAGCTGGCTTTAAACTCACTGAGATCCACCTGCCTCTGCTGGGATCAAAGGCGTGCACCACCAAGCCCAGCTTAGGGCAGCCAGTACTCTTAACTGCTGAGCAGCCTTGCTTGTTTTGTTTTGAAGGAGGGTGTCAGATACCCTGGAACTGGAATTACAGGTGATTGTGAGCTACCTGATAGGGGCACTGGGAACTCGGGCACATCTGGAAGAGCAAGCATTCTTAGTTACTGAGAACTGTCTCTCCACTGCCCCCCCCCCTTTTTTGAGAAAGGGTCTCCCTGTAGCCCCAGCTGGCCTGGAACTTACTATGTAGACCAGGTTGACCTTGAACTCACAGAGACACATCTGCCTCCCAAGTGCTGGGATTAAAGATGTTCACCACGTCAGGCTCCCTGATGTTTTTTGAAATGTCTCTCACTATCCAGCCCACTCAGACCTTCAACTTAAGATTGTCTTGTCTCAGCCTTCCAGGTGCTGTGGTTACTTGAATGCATGCCACGCCTAGCTGCTTTCTCAAGGCTGGGCTCAAACCCAGGGCTAGGTGCTAGGGCAAGTATTCTACCCGGAGCTGTACCTTCAGCAGTGTTTTTTAAAATGCATTGCCCATGGGCAGTGGGTAGCAGTTGTGATGCCTGGTTGCTCGTTTGGGAAGTTACAGGGAAATGTATATCACTGGGTGCATGTGTTATCACTAGGTGATTCCTACCACATCCCTTAAATAGGATGATTCTACTCATAAGGGACTGTCACTGAATGTGATTTGTTCAACTTTCTAGTCATACTGTAAGTCACATGGTGAGTAGCTCTATACAACATGATCCAGGAGCTGAGTCCTTACTTAGACAGGTGGTGTTGGGTTTGACACCAGCTAGGTCAGTTGGCAAGTGTGGATTCTTGCCTTCTTGCTGACATTCACCTAGGAGAAAGTTGGAAAAGAGATGAGGTGAGAAGCAGCAGCGCTCCAGCATTTGGCTGATGTGCAGGTCAGTCAAGTGACAGTAGTGATGCCTACCTCCCCTTCCTGGCTCCGTCCACCCTGTTCCCCTCCTTTCAGAGATAGGACTGAGGAATGGCAGTAGTAGGTTTTAATCTTTAAAAATGTTGCTCTATTATTCTGGGGGGGGCATTCATGCCACAGTGTATGTGACGATCAGAGCACAACCTTGTGGAGTCTTTTACATGGGTTCTGAAAGATCTTGAGTGGCAAATGTTTTTGCCCACTGAGCCATCCTGAAGGCCCAACTTTCAGTCTTCCTTCATCACCACCCAAATCATGAAAGGAAGCTGAGACTTGTTTTAAAGTGGTCCCTAATCTGGGGAAGAAATAATTATAATCTATGAATTTAAGTTTCTGCATATATATATATATATATATATTTGGTCTTTTTGAGACAGGGTCTCCCTGTAGCCCCAGCTGTCCTAGAACTCACTATGTAGACCAGGTTGGCCTTAAACTCAGAGATCTGCTTGCCTCTGCCTCCCGAGTGCTGGGATTCAAGGCATGCGCCACCACACCTGGCTCTGCTAATATTTTTATCATGGAGTGTTCTGTGGCTCCAGGTCTCTAGCAGAGCTATATGATGGGAAAGATGAAATTATGAGGAGAAATTTTCTGACCCATAGGTAGAGAAGTACTTATGTTGCACGACTCCAAATCTAGCATCACAGTATTTGCTGCTTTGTTTATTAAAAGACAGGGTCTTGATTGACATCCCAAGCTGGCTTTGAACTCTCAGTTCTCCTAAGTGGAATTGTTGGGGTTACAGGTGTGTGCCACCATGTCCAGCAACATACTTCAAAGTCTGTACCAGTGATTAAAAAAAAAAGTCCCGAAGGAGGTGGGCATGAAGTCCCACCCCAAGCTGGAGTTGTTAGTTGATAGCTGCAAAGCATAACAGTCCATTTTCTTTAAGGCTACAACCCCTGGTAAGCCTAGGTCGACCATGCTCTGGGACAAGTTCCACACCCAAGAATATTTGGGGAGCACACATTGGATGGGGCTTGGGGTTGGAGAACATGAAGTTGGGTGGGTAGGGAAGTGGGGGTGGATCTGGGAGGAGTTGGGGGAGGGAATATGGTCAAAATACATTGTATGAAATTCTCAAAGACAATAAAGATAATAAAGGGCTAAGGATGTAGTGTGGTGGTAGAACATTTACCTGTCATGCCTCAGGTCCTGGGTTCAATCTCCAGCACCATAGCACCAGCAAAACTTCAGAAATGAGTCTTTACAGGACAATAGAAGAGGCAGATGTTAAAGGAAATCACAATGGTGCCCAGTGAGATAAAGACAAGACAGTACTATGACAACATGGAATAGGTCTAGAAAAATCCTCCACCTCTGCAGAAGTCAAGACTCCCATGAAGGTTGGGCCCTTGAGGTGACATCAGATAGACTTAACCAGTTCTAGAGAGCAGTGCTTTCCGACTCTTGTCACTCTGGGGAGGGAATGAGTGCAAGAAGATGAGGGCCTGGTTATACGCTTAGGAGCAAGGACCCGAGCTGTCAGGTAGCCATTTGTCCCGTGGAAGTGACTTCTAAGTATAAAAATACAGCAGGATTTCAAAAACAGCCAGCATTTCTTAACCTTTTTTAGTGTGTGAGTTTGGTGTGTGCATGCCATGGTGTGTGTGTGTGTGTGTGTGTTTGTGTGTGTGTGTGTGTGTGTGTGTGTGTGTTCCTTTCACCTTTAGTTTTTGGTCTCCCTGTAGCCCCATTTGGCCTGGAACACGCTATGTAGATTGGCCTTGAACTGCCACCAGGCCCAGCCCACCTTTATTTTTGTGTATGAGTGTTTTGCCTACATGTAAGTATACCCATGTGTGATACCCATGGAGGCCAGAAGAGAGGATTGGATCTCCTGGAACTGGAGTTACACATGGAAGCCATCATGTGGGTTCTGGTAACCAAACCTAGATCCTCTGCAAGTGCAGCCAGTGCCCTTAACCACGGAGTTATTCAGACCCTTTCCACCATTTTAAAAAAAGATTTAATTCTATGTGTATATATGTTTGCTGCATGAGTTTATGTATACCATGAATGTACAGGAGCCCATGGAGGCTGGAAGAGGGTGTCGTTCCCCAGAACTGGAGTTACAGGTGTATTGGGAACTGAGGTCCAAAAGAGCAGTGCGTGCCCTTCACTAGTGAAGTCTCCCTTCTGCTTTACAAATACATGTTACCACATCTTGTTTTTCACATGGGATCAGATTCAGGCCCTTAGGCTTGTACAGTGAGTGCTTTTAACTGCTGAACCATCTCCTGGGCTCATTTAGTTTTCTTGTTGTTGGGGGATTTGGGGGGTGGTTTTTTTTTTTTGTTTTTTTTTTTTGAGAGGTGGACTCCTGTACCTGTAGCTGGCCTTGAACTTCTGATCTCCCTATCTCAAGTTCTAGAACTTGCTATGTAGACCAGGCTGGCCTCAATGTCATAGAGATCCACCTGTCTGCCTCCTGAGTGCTGGGATTATAGGTGTGTGCCAACACTAAGCTTAGGAGCTTTAAATGATCTAAGTGGCTTGCATTATATTAGTTGTGCAGTGCTAGTGCTAGTCTAGAGGAAAGGCTTGGGTCTTAATCCTAAATCAATGCATTTTTCAACTGGAAACCATTATTGACCTCCCTTTTTTGAGGAGGTCATGAGACATCCTGTGAAGTAGAGACATGATTTCCATTTTCCAGACAAGAAAACTGAGGCTGGGAGGTGAAACACCTCAGGTTAAGTAAATGGAGGGACTTGAGTGTGAGCAAGGTTCGAAAGGCAAATGAGGAAGCTAGTTTTCCCTTCTGCAAGTGGCAGCCCAACCTTGGGCAGATGGGTAACACACACACACACCCCACCCCTCCACAAGGGACTGCAGCCTCCCTCCTGACGCTCCCTGGAAGCAGGAAGGTGAAGCCCTGCAGCTTTCCCACCAGTTGCCTTCACAGCCTGCCACGGTGTTGCCTGCTCCACCCCAGTTTCTAAGTCACCAGGTGCTGATGGTGACTCTGATGAAGGGTTACAGTAGTGGGACTGGCTCTGGTGAGGAACCCCATGTGTGAGCTGATCCTCCAATTCCCACCCCACCCCACATGCTCCAGTGACTCCACTTTTCTTTTTTTTTTTTTGGTCTTTTTGAGACAGGGTCTCCCTGTAGCCCCAGCTGTCCTGGAACTCACTATGTAGACCAGGCTGGCATTGAACTCACAGAGATCTGTCTGCCTCTGCCTCTGCCTCCAAGTGCTGGGATTAAACGCGTGCACCACCACACCCCGGCTGACTCCACTTTTAAAACAAATCCAAGGGGGACTGGATCTGACTCCTGAGGGGCAGTTCTGAACCTTGGTCAGAAAAACTGAAGTGTGCCTCAGTCAATGTAGGACACTTAGCTGGTCAACACTAAGAGACAGTGCTGAACCCTAAATGGGATGTATTTATCAACACCCCAGCCCTGCCACAAGGGCTCAGGGAACATCTCAGAAGACAGAATGTAGAGCTGGAGGATCCTGTCTTCTAGACATGACGTGGGCACTGCACTTAGGAACTCACAGCAGCTGTGGTTTTCTGCACAAGATTGAGCCAGCCAAACCTCTGGCATAGATGGGGAAAGTGGCTTCCTGGCGCCACCCTTTACTGACCTGCTATTCGAAGTTGATAGCTGCTGCAGGAGGGTGTGGCCACTGGTTAGGCTGCTCGTCCTCCAGTGGATGGCCCCATACACTCCCATATGGGCAGCACTAACTAGACAGGTTTTCAAAGAAAATGAAAAATAAAAGTTAGGGGAGCCTTGGGAGTACTTGGGAGGGGTTGGATGGGATGTGGAGAATGGGAACTGTATATGATCATATCTTATTGTACATGTATAAAATTCTCAGAGCTGGGAATTCGGCTCAGTTGGTGAAATAGTTATTTGGCATGCACAAAGCCCTGGGTTCAATCCAAAAAACAAAATGAAAAACTTCAAACCAGTGACCACAGAACATTAAATCTGGAGCCCAGGGCTTTCTGAATGCAGGCCGTACTTGTGCCCCAGTGCCAAGTGCCTCCCAGGCAAGGAAATCCAGCCCAGCCCCCTGCCCACACAGCAAAGAATGTTCCTTGCCTCAGTGCACAGGGATTTTTGTCTGCCCTTCCAGCCTGGACCATGGAGGTGGCTCAGCACTGTGCCTGGGATTCTGAGGCCTCTGTTCCAGGCAGCCCCCTCAGACACCAGTCCCTAAGTGGAGTGATACCACCCTGTGCCCCTACCTACTCATCTAAGAACTTTGCAGGCCTAGCCTAGTATGTGTCAAGTCTAACTGGGTCTGGGGGAAAAATTTGGGTCTGAATTCCTCTGACATCTTGGACAAGGTATGTAACCTCTCTGAGCATGTTTTCTGATCAGGAAAAGGGGCTAATAAGCCCTACCTCAGGGTGTGAGAAGGGCCCAGAGACCTTCTAGCTACCACCAGTGAGCACCAGAAACTGCTGGCTGCAACTCAAATTCATACTTGTTGCCCTGGGGAAGATTCCTGATCCATTTGTTCTGCTCTTGGCTGGCCCACTGACCACAGGACTAGCCCACTACCTTCCCACCACCCTCCACCATTAGGCTTCCTGAGGATTGTACTGGGAACAGGACTCACCAGCCAGCTTCTCCCTGACACCCTCTTCAGGCTTTTCCATGACAGCTCAGAGGTCCCTCTCATGCACCAGCTCCCAGACAAATGAAAAGTGCTTTCTAGAGCCTCGACGTGTGTGAAATCAATAATGTATGTTCTTGTCACCAGCCTGTAAAATAGGGTGAGGTAATTTTTATTTCACAGCTAAACAAACAGGTTAAATATGCCATATGACTTGCAGGACACAGTGCAAATGAAGGAAGAGGTTGAAGTTCAAGGCTCCCCCACTCCCTCTCAGACTGTCCACTGGATACCATGCCGACTATAACACTCAGAGGGAATGGCACCTTTTGCTCTGATCTGAGCACCAAGGACCAGCCAGGCACCTAGGTACCCTTGACAAGATCAGACTTTTCCTTCTTGGAAAAGATTTGTGGGTACTATATTAGGGATAAGAAATGTTAAACAGAGCTGGGCATGGTGGTCCATGCCTTTAATCACAGCACTTGGGAGGCAGAAACAGGCAGATCTCTATGAGATGGAAGCCAGCCTGGTCCACATAGCAAATTCCAGGCCAGTTGGGGCTATAGGGAGACCCTGTCTCAAAAGAGACCCTACCCCCAAAAGAAATGTCAAGCAGAGCTGGGCGTGGTGGTCCATGCCTTTAATCACAGCACTCAGGAGGCAGAGGCAGGTGGATCTCTGTGAGATGGAAACCAGCCTGGTCTACATAGCAAGTGCCAGGCCAGCTGGGGCTACAGGGAAACCCTGTCTCAATAAGACAACAACAAAAAACAAAAAGAAATGTCAAACATTTAATTCTTGGTATTGAGCAGACAACCCCACCCCCTATCAGTTCCCTCTCTCCTAGCCCCTTCCTCAGCAGCCATGCATGCCAGGAAGGAAGCAGGATGCCCAGGCCAAACCTGGGCAGGGTGTCTTGTGGATGATCATGGATTTCTTGATTGTAAAGTGGAAGAGGGGCTGAAACAGGAGGCTCCAGACGGGGCAGGGGGCTGGGCAAAGTCCCAGGTGGGCCTGCTGTCCCAAAGACTTTCAAAGGTAGGCTAGGAAGCAGGAGAGGCACAGACTGGAGCCAGACATATGGTTGGCTCACATTTAACATCCCTGTGACAGAAGACAGACTGAATAGGTGACACGTTGGGTGAGCCAGGTAGTCTTTGGCATCCAAACACTGAAGGAGACTATGGAAATCATAGATCATTTGCATACTGAAGAAAGCTGTGGCTGCCTGGGGCTCAAGGTATAGGAAGTCTGAGTTAGGTGGTGTTATGGGGTGTCACCTGAGTTTTTAAAAGCTCTTTATGTGGTTGTAATGTGCAACCAAGGTTAAGAATCACTGGAGAGATGGCTCTAGGTTTGTGGTTAGGAGTGCTGGTTGCTCTCACAGAAGATCCAGGTTTGGTTCCCAGCACCAACATGGAAGCCAATAACTATAATCCCAGTTCCACAGGATTCGTCACCTTTTAGCCTCTTCTGGCATTGCATGCATATGATGCACTTACATACATGCAGGAAAAACATTCATACACATAAAAATTTTTAAAAAAGGATAACTGATTTGCCCAAATCCCTTAAGGAGCAAATGAGGAAACTGGGGCCCAAGGAAATAGATCATCATGTAGCCAGCAAGGCATGGGTTGGCAATAGACTTGGGGGCCATGGCTGCCTCCCCAACATTCTGTCAGTATCTTGCCAGGAATGGAGGAAGGTAGAGGTGGAGGTGGCAGAAACGAGGAAGTAGGTCTGCCTGACCTGACCTAAGATGAAAATGCACCTTGGCCAGCCTGATGGCCAGGGTGTGGTGAGCTATAAAACAGGCAGCCCGAGCTGCTCCACCTTAAGGAAGTAGGTCTGCCTGACCTGACCTAAGATGGCCAGGGTGTGGTGAGCTATAAAACAGGCAGCCCGAGCTGCTCCACCTGTGGACAGGGGAGGGGGCAGAGATGCTGTGGACCTGGCACACTGAGGGGAAGTCTCTGCTCCATTCCTCTTCACTCACTACCCATGAGTTCATTCACTCAGTCACCCAACAGCACTCACTTTTCCCCTGTTATATCCCTTCCTGCCCTGACTGTCTGAGGTGCTCCATTCCTCTTCACTCACTACCCATGAGTTCATTCACTCAGTCACCCGACAGCACTCACTTTTCCCCTGTTATATCCCTTCCTGCCCTGACTGTCTGAGGTCCACCTTTACTGTGCTAAATTTCCACGAATTTGTTCCTGGACTTTCCCATTGGTCTGTTGTCTAACTCATGTGCCATTGCATCTCTGGTTTAATCATAGAGGCACAGAGTGTACTTTTCACAGCTAGAAGACCTAGATCTCCTCGATAGCTTTTATTTTCTGCCACTTTTTTCTTTCTTTCTTTCTTTCTTTCTTTCTTTCTTTCTTTCTTTCTTTCTTTCTTTGAAAAAAAAATGGCCTCTGCCTCCCAAGTGCTGGGATTAAAGGCGTGCACCACCACACCAGGCTTCTGCCACTTTTTCTAACCTTTTTTGCGTATGGATTTTTCCTTCAAAAGCTTATTGAGGCCTGGCAAGATAGCTCAGAAAATAAAGGCACTTGCTACCAAGTCTGACAACCTGAGTGCAATGACTTTATATCCTGCCACGTGAGTTCTTGTGCTGTTTGAGTCTGCTGTATTAGCATTTGATAGGGATGAATTTTTAGTTGTTTGGAGATAGTCCTTTTTCTCCATGTTGGGGACTGAAGCAGGGCCTTGCATCTGCTGGGCTTTACCACTGAGCTAATCTGCAGTCCAGGAGCTAACCCCAGCCCAGCAGCTAACCCCCAGGCCAGGAGCCAGTTCTTCATGGGTCCTCACATGCATTTCAGTGGCACACGGACAATGGCTTCCTTTTCTCTAGTCTAGCTTTTCAAGGATATTTCTATGATGAACAGCCTTGGAAGACATAGATAATGCTCTCTTGACCCCTCCCACAGTCAGGGGCAGGTTATAAAATATAGGTTGTGTGATTTATAAACTCAATGTCTTCTTTGGGGGCAAGATCAGCAGCACATATGGTGTGGTACATGTGCACTCCACACATACACACACAACATGCACACACACAAAATAAATTAATTAAAATGTAAAAAATAATTGGAGAGGAGGCAGCAAATTGGCTCAGCAGGTGAGGGTGGTGCTGTACAAGCCAAAATAACCTGTTGGATCCCTGGAACCTACGTAAAGGTGGAAGGAAAAAACTGACTCGGACCTTGACCTCCACACAGGCACTGTGGTATATGCACACTCCCCACATACATCATGCACACACATGCATAATAACAATAATTTAAGGTTTATTTTTATTTATTTAGTTTAGTTTTTTATATTATGTGTATATTTGACTGCCTGTATGTAAATTGCACCTGTGTCAAGCAATGCCTATGGAGGTCAAAAGAAGGCATCAGATCCCCTGGAACTGGAGTTATAGGTGGTTGCTAACTGCCATGTAGGTGCTGGGAACTGAACCCAGGTTCTCTGCAAGACCAGCCAGTGCTTTTAACAGTCGAGCCATCTCTCCAGTTCCTTATCTATTTATTTATACTGGGTATTGAACCCGGGGCCTTCCACATGCTAGGTAGGCATGCTACCACTGAGCTACATTCCCAGCCCCTATTTAGCTCTTTTTTGGCGGGGGGGGAGTCTTTTTGAGACAGGGTCTCCCTGTAGCTGCAGCTCACTGGATTTGCTATGGAGATCAGGCTGGCCTCAAACAAACAGAGATCTACCTGCCTCTGCCTCCTGAGTGCTGGGGCTAAAGGTGTGTGCCACCATGTCCAGCCTGTTTAGCTTTTTTAAAATACAACTTAAAGTATGCATTCTGGGACTCTAGGTAATGTTTCTCAAAACATGTCTGAAACTAGTCTTCCAAAGTCAGCTTCAAGTTTCTACCCTTTTCTTACCAGTCATTCTCTCCATTCAGTCTATCACCATGTCCTGTTGGTTCTGCCTCCAAAATGTGTCAGATCCAGTCACTTCTCCCCATCTCCACACCCAACTCTAGATCTTTGTTTCCACTTTGCTCTTTTTATTTAGTTTATGTATGAGTGTATTGCCTGCATCTGTATAAGTGCACCGTGTCTTTGAATGCCCAAGGTCAGAAGAGGGCATCATATCCCCTGGAACTAGAGTTATGGATGGTTGCTACTGCCATGTGGGTGCTGGGAATTGAACCCAGGTCCTCTGCAAGAGTAGCTAGTGCTCTTAACTGCTGAGCCATCTTCCCAGCCCCAGTGATTGGATCTTAAGTGTGCTACCTAGGAGGTGAGGTCTAGCTGGAGGAAGCAGGTCACTGAGATGACAGGTGTGTCTTTGAAGGACATATCTTGCCCCAGACCATACTTTTCTATCTCTGCTTCCTGGCTGTCAAGAGATAAGCAGCTTTGCTCCTCAAAGTCCTCTCCATGGTGTTCTGCCTTAACACACACAGTTCCTGGTGATGGTGCCACATGAATGTGGGCTGAAGCCTCTGAAACTGGAAGCCCAAAGAAACCTTTCCTCCCTGAAGTTTGTTCATCTCAGGTCTTTTGTCACAGTGACAACAGCAACTGCTAAAAGACAAAACAAAAGAAACAAGAACAAAAATCCCAGACATGTTGCTCTCAGATTAGGCCAACAATCTAATTAGCAACATTCAACTCCTCACTGGTCTTCATAAAAATATACTGAATCTGGGCTGGAGAGATGGATCAGCCATTAAGAGCACTGGCTGTTCTCCCAGGTTCAATTCCCAGCACCCATATGGTGGCTGACAGCCGTCCATAACTCTAGTTCTAAGGGAATATGACACCCTCTTCTGACCTCCATGGCATTGCATGACATGAATGCACTTACATACATGCAGGCAATACACTTACATACACAAAATAAAAATGATAAAGTTTAAAAATATATAGTGACTCAATGAAGAAAAATCTATACTGGCTTATCAAATCCCTTTGAGGAAGGGGCAAAATCAGCCCTAGTAGTGAATGGTGGCTTTAGAGACATCTACCTGTTTTATGGGCTGCATCAGAGTATTCCAGGGTGTGG